AATCGGATTAATTCACTTTAAATCGGTCATCAGTGTTTATTGAGAATTTTAGTAAGGGAACAGTAGGTTTTTTGGGCGCCCAAGAAATGTGGTGGCAATTTCGTAGCTGAACTTTAAATGTGTGGTCTTTTGCAATTCACTCGGGTTCCTCGCTAGATGATGGGTGGTAAGAACATGTACACGAAGCACTTAACTAGGAAAATAACCTACATTTAGGCTTCGTGTGCGCCTTCCAAATCTTTCCAGTCTTGAAGATGTTAGAATTAATGGGCCTGGCCCATTAACAAAATCTGAAATCTCAAATGAGCCCATGTGTAAAATGACAAGTGGTAGTGCTAAAGTTTTTTGAGAATATATTTCTTATGAAATATATGGATAGCATTGCTAGATTTTGCTATGAAATAATTCCTGAATCTAGTACAACTGATGAATATTTCAAACAAACACATGAGGAAGTCCTTGAGAAGGATAACGATGAAGTTCCTATAAGGAACAAGAGACAAAGGGTTAGAAAATCCTTTGGTGATGATTTCATTTGTATACCTTGTGGACGACACACCCAAGTCTATTGCAGAGGCATATGCATCTCCAGATGTAGATGATTGGAAAGAAGCCGTTCATGATGAGATGGACTTAATTCTTTCTAATGTAACTTGGAAACTAATTGATAGACCATATGGTTGTAAACCTGTGGGATGTAAGAGGGCGTTCAAAAAGAAGCTAAAGCCTGATGGGCCGGCGAGGCAACCCGCAGGGCCGCCGTGCAGACGCGGCGGAGGCGGGTGGCATGGATCGATTGGCGGGCCGACGCGCGAGTGACGGCTATGATTGACCGTCGCATGGCGCGAAGCCGCCGGGGCGGGGCGATGCAGGTTTCCTGGTCGGAGCAGGGCAGCGACGGCCGACGCAGGGCGACGGGCGGACCGACGCGCGGACGGCAGCTGGCCTTAACGGGCCGCCTTGGCGCACGTGGACGCGGGTCGGAGGAGAGGCGGGCTGGTCGCGCCGGGGTTGGAGTAGAGGCGCACGGGGGTCGACGGCGGCGGCGGGCGACGCAAACCGATCAAGATTAGATTGGAAAACCAAAAAAAGAATGCCGATCAAAAACGACCGGCGAAAGAGCGAAAAAGTCCGGAGCAAGGGCTCGGGAAAAAGACTCTATAGGGCAGCCGGCCAACATCGGCCGTCAAGTATTTTCGGACGGAGGTAGTACATCGGCTGTCAAGGTCCCTGGTCGGCAAGGATTAGAACTATACATTTGTATATGAATATGATCATCAGGAGGAATGTGTTGCACTTGCACAAAGATCCTCCATCCTCCTCCGACTAATACTACAACATGGAGAATGGGAAATGCGTTCAACCTTTGAGCTTTGCCTTGAGGAGCCAGCGGGTGCCCCAGACCCAGTTAATTTTCTTTTCGAAAAGGAGGAATACCCCCGGCCTCTGCATCTGGTCGATGCATACGGCCACTTTATTAATTATTAGCACAAAACCTGACAAAGTCGTACAACAGTAAGACCAAAGCCACCATCTTCGCAACCTCTGTCGCTACTCCTATCTAACTGATGAAGGGGCGCTGATGGTCTGGGCCTAAAACCAAACAGACCTCGCAGCAAAAACTAACATCTAAGACCTGAGGTCCCAACCTGGACGCCTGCCGGGTATGGGCACCCACCAGTCCGGCGTGCTCCTCAACCAGGCCGCCCGCCGGGTATGAGGCCGCCATAACCACCTACCACATATCCATCTTCAGAGTTGTACTGTTGTAACAGCCTTGCCTGGTCTCGCTGCCGCCGACGCCACCACGACGCCAGACAGCGTCGACCTCCTGCGTGTGTCCGTCACGACACATCTGACGCCCAGCCTCCGCTGCTCCATGCCGCCAAGAGCCGCCGCCAAGAATATGTAGAACGAAACACCGCTCCACTGAAGGGAGGCAGCACACCCCCACCCCTCACCTGCAGACCCTTCCATCCGATCCCAACCTTGGTGTCGCCTCCAGGAAGGTTACGGTGCCTAAGGCGCCGCCGACGCCCGATCCGCATCGGATCTTGGGCTTTCACCCGGACATGGGTTGGAGAGGTGAGATGGTGCCCTCAGCAACGCCCCCAAGGAGGAAAGCGGCGCCAAAAATCGGCGTCGCCGCTGCCTGTCAGCCTAAGGCAGCCAAGGTTTCCCCCGGACACCGATCTGCTCCACCAGAACACACTGGAGGTGGATCAGGCAAGAACCAAACGGACCCGGGGACTGGGAAGGGATGCACGGAAGGGAGAGGGGCAATACCCGTCGTCGGCCGACCCCAAAGCGTTGCCGAACGCGGCCCGCGCCGCCGCGAGGTCAGCTTTGGTTGGGGCGCCGGCAGCCATCCCCGACCCCCGGCCCATCCCACCACCTCCCCCCGGAGGAAGAAGAGGAGGGGAAGGCCGAGGCCGCCACTGCTGCGCCGACCCCTCCGCCAGCCACGGCGGAGGAAGCCGCCCATAGCCCGCACCACCCGCAGCCCGCCCCAACCGGATCTGGATCGAGCCGCCGCCGTCACCACACCAGCCGAGCACCACCGAGGAGCAGCCCATCACGCCACCCGCACACCCGTGCGCCATCCTGCACCGATGAGGGGCCGCACCGTGGCGCCCCGCGAGAACGCCGTGGCCAGATCCAGGTCGGCCGGCCCGCGCCAGCCCTCCCGAACGAGGCGATGAAGACGCCCCGCCGCCGCTGCCGCCGGCCGGGCTGCGCCCGGGCGCGCCCTCTGACGGCGGCGGGAGGAGGAGGAGGAGAAGAGAGGTGGAGAGGCGGCCGGCGGCTAGGGTTCCTCCCCTGCCGCCCGCGGGAGCGCCAGAGGAGGAGGAGTGAGCCCCAGACCCAGTTAATGATGGATGGATCGGTATGATCTTCTTGTGTGAGTTGGTTGTGTTGTTGCAGGCAGGCATTGGCAATGGGGAAATCCATCCAAGAGCAAATTATAAGTTGTCCTTCAATTCGATACGTCCTATGAAGGTCGCATGTGCAGTAAGTTAAGTTTGGGTTTGCATAGCTAGGGAAAGGAAAGCAAATTGCATCCGTTGGGAAGGTGCTATGCCAGAGGATAGGATAGGATGGACAAGTGTAGCAACCATACGGGAGTAGATTGGGCACCCAAATTATTATTATTTTTTGAATTTTCCTTGTAATTTCTCGATTTAATTTTTGTATAGGGAGGAGGTGGAGAACTCAGGTGCTCGTGTGTGTGTGTATTTCTGGGACCAATTTCTTCTATTACTTCATTTTGTGATTCCATCTCCAGTTATCTCTGCACTCCATTAGGATACGTGTGTGAGGCCGACATAACGTCACAATCCTACTTTTTTTTTGAGCATCAGTACAGACACAAGCGCTCATATACACGCGCATACACTCATCCCTATGAACGCACACACGCACACCCTACCCCTATGAGCACCTCCGAGAGACTGAGCCGGCATATCATCTTGAGATTTACGAAGCCACCATAGGCGCCTCGTCGTCGACGGGAACGTCTCCTCCCACTGAAAGCGCATCGCCGGAAATCCTGAAATAAATCCAGGAATAATGCGAGCACCAGGAACCCTGGTGGGTTGGAAATACCACTGTCCACCTAACCAACTCAACCACAGGTTGATTCACCGTCACAATCCTACCGAGGAGTATAGTATCAAACAGAGGAGGGACAAGCGTGCATATCACACTTGTCCCTTTTCCTCCTGGCTGGCTATGGCTAGATTCCAAGGTCAAAAACCCAAACCCGGCCCCAACAAATGGATTCGTTCAGATACACACACGCATCACACTTGTCCATTAAGCAATGTTACACACATGGAAACTTTACGAGCGGCTGACGTGGGTTGTGCTAATTGGGCATTAGAGGACGCAGGCCCCCTGAGAGAGGGACGAGACTTGCCTGCTCCCTTCCCATGCTCCCATCCGTGCTCCTGCATACGTGGCTTGATTTGATTGGAAGAAAATAAGACCCGACCCCACCCCCTGAAAATCAGGCCCCCTGAGAGAGGGGGGGTTGAGGAAAGTACGTTGGTTAAGTAAAAGTAGTCCGTGAGTGTACCATTTTTGCTTGTCCATCCATCCATGTCTTTCTCGCATCTTCTTCCTTCCATAGCTACAACCAACCTCTTTGGTTTGATACATGAATATTCCTTTCTTTCCTCCTTTTGCAAATCAAATAAAAGTGGGACGCGGCTGGGACTTGCTTCAGATTGATTATTCTCGCATATATGCAGTGGTTGCCACCTTAATTATCACCTGTTGTTGATTTTATTTTATCTTATTTTGCCGGCGGGAATTACGATTAATGATTAGCATGCAACGTTATCTACAGCCGGAGGCCCCGGATCTGCCCTAAACGCCCAGGCGGGCTGCCCGGCAAAACATGCCCAAACGCTCGAACTGACCAACACTCCTATCTGGGGCGAATATGGGTGCCCGAATGCGACCGAGCACGGCTGCCACGTATGACTGACCGCAAGGGCCCACGTGCTCACACGTCAAAAAAATTGGTCCTGTTAGAAGGGAGAGAGGGACACACGGGAATATCGACAAGTTACTTTCACCACGATTCATATTGATTTAACGTTATAAGTGTTATGTGGGTAGACCAGAGAGCTGAGGTGTTTGTTTTTGCTTGAACAAATACCTAGTTATGATTAGATGGCCGGCTCACGCATCAATGTCCGCTGACGGACGATGAGGTGTCCGGTTTGGGGCGTCAGCGTTGGAGATGCACATAGACGCTCCCTAGTTTTGAAAGCTTAACTAGAGTTGAAGTTAAAAAATATATCCCTCAAATCAAATATAAAATATGCTTCAAGCTTCCCACATGCATGCATCGTAGGAATCCGACTCGATCCAATCGTGATATGTGAATGTGAGTTAACAAAAATAATCAAACCAAGAAAAAAGAAGCCTCTAATATAATATAATGTGCTCACATGGAATGAATGTTGGGGCCGGAGACGTACGCACGCTAGCTAGCTAGCTAGCTGGGTTTCTACAGGAGGAGGGGGGGAAAGTTTCTTGGAGGAGCCGATTGCAAAGAGGATGGCAAAGATGAAGGGTCTGAATGCTTTCTCCATAAGGCGATGGTGATCCGTCTTAAGAGAGGCGTAACACTCCGGGGGTTTACCACGCCTCCCCGGCCAGATCGCCTCCACGTCGACGAGATATAATCGTACCGCCCACAACGTCAATAACCTGCACACGCCCGCACCCACACCCACACCATTAGAAAAGAGGAGCTCCCTCAAGTAAGTAGTAGTGATCTAAACGCTCTTGTATTTCCCAAGAGCTCAACTCACTCACCATGCGATGATAGCGAAGAAGATGCCCAGCGCGAAGCTCCATTCAGAGACGCCGTCGCGGCGCACGCAGCAGCATCCTTGTTTGAAGGTGAAATACGAGACGCAGCCCACAAGGACAGCCAGCTCGGCCAAACCCACCACGAAAGACAGGCTCATGGGGTACACGCATTCACCCCTCTCGTTCAACCTGATATCCTCCGGCTTCTATTTTTTTTAAACAAAACAAAACAAAAAAATTACAACAACCTAGTAAGTTCCGTTCCGTTAAACGCATGCAAATTAACAAACAAAAAGATAAATAGTACTCCCTTCGTCTAGGTGTCTAAGTCAACTTACGAAAATCAAATAATCCCAAAACACTTAGGCACGGTACATTAACTCCTTCCTCGTTTTTTGTTTTGTGACATCAACCAATAAGAGATGTGGGCCGTGCATGCTTTCAATGACTTGAGGCTACCAAACGTGACATGCAGTGGTTAGTTCATTGCATGCAATGCTATTAATTAGCAAAAAGATATTAAGTTTTCTCGTTTTCCTCTTCGCCTTGGTCGCGGTGCACAACGTAAGATGACTTACACATCTAGACGGAGGGAGTACTGGTATGAATAATATCATGTGGAACATGTGCTTGCTTACCTCGGGCCTTGTGGCATTGGCGGAGAGAATCAAGGCCGCTATGCCTAATCCTACCACCAACCCAGTTAGGAACCTTTTTAACTTCTCTGTGTTCATTTCGTTGTTGTCAGTTTGGTGGTAGGATCACGCGTGTGGCCGGTTTGACAATTCACCTTGGCACCCAACTGCATGCATGCAGATACTGCGCATGATCTCGCAAGCAAAAAAAAAAGAAACAAGAAGAGAAATAAGATAGATTGTTAAGATTAAGACATTATGGAAATGCATGCACTCACAATTCACATGGAGATGCATGCCATTGCCACAACCACGGGACTGAAATTTGTGTATGGATCTCGTCGGCTTCTCGCGTATGCATGCTTGCATTGACTCTTATTATGAGGAAGGTACCATGTCGAAACGGGAATGGAAGTCGTGGGGAGGGGAATGAAAGTAGGTGAGCGGGCGTTTAGCGGTGGAGCTAGTTTCTCGTTTGTTTCTCCCCGTCCCAAAGCAAGTGGACCTCCGACTTTCTTGGAGAGTCAAACTTTGTTAAGGTTATGATGGGGACATCCTCCTTCAAGAGGTGATGTTAGTAGCAATGGCAAATCGGCAAGAAGGATCCCCTTGGCTGCCTCATGTGCATGCAGAGGTTGGACTACAATGTTAGGCCAGTCATAGTGGGAGTAACATAGCGCACTTCAAGAAAATTTTGTTTATGTGACAAGTAGTTAATGAGATGCTCCGTCCCCCAACCCTAGCCGCCCCTCCTCCTCACCCCAACCCTAGCCGCCCCTACTCCTAACCCTCCCCCCCCTTCCCTTCCTCGCCGCCACCTGAGGCAGCCGCCGGGCAAGCCCGGGGCGCCAAGGATGGTGGCGGCGGGGCCTCGGTTGCCCTGCTTCTGCGTGGGGACCCCAGATCTGGAGCGGCGCCTCCATTGGCAAGGCACGGCAAGCTAGCAGCCGTGCGGGCGGTGGATCTGGTGTCCCGGCCGTGCGAGTGGCGGGATTCGGTGGTCGTTGGCGGCCAGCGGCGGCTTCTGCGACGGTCGGTGCGCGCGATCTGGCGCCTCCCCCTCCTCCCCTGGTCGGCGTGCGCGCTAGCCTAGTCGGGCCGCACTTCCTCTTGGTCGCTGGTTCTGTACAGGAGGTGCTGCTGGTGGCGGGGATCTAGTTCGGGCGAAATCCCCGGCCGGCCATGACCGGCCGCGCCGGCGGCAACGCCTGAGGGCGTCGTTCCCTTCCTTGGAGGCGTCGGTATGGACTAATCTCCTCACTTCACATTCCCCTAGTTATCCCAGGCGCAAGCCCTAACTTTGTTGAGCTGTGGCGGCGCTCACGGCGCCGTTCCCTTCTTGAAGACGCCGCTTTGGAATCTTGGGGTTGGTGGCGCTTGTGGGTGGTGTACGACGGTGGTGGTGCGGCCCGATCCTAGCATGGATTTACGTCCGTTGCTTGGTGATGGACTCGCGTAGATGGAGGTCATCGGCTGGCGTCATGGTGGCGTCAATGGCGGAGGACCTGCCAAGGCTCGCGCAGGTGGAGGTCGTCGTTTGGCTTCATGGTGGCGTCGATGGCGGAGGACCTGCCAAGGTTGTCACCTCTCTGCTCTGAAAATGGACCAGTGGAAGATGGCGGCGATGACACATGTGAGTGCGTCGGACCGGTTTGAGCCCCGGACCCGGCAGATGGCTCGGTCGGGGCCTCCGGTTTTAGATGTTAAGCTTAGGTGAGAGGTCTGGGTATGTGGCCCAGCTTGCACCCTTCATCATTTGGATAGGAGTAGCGGCAAATGTTGCCAAGATGGCGGATTCAGACATATTGTTGTTCTAATTTGTAAGGTCCTCGAGAATAATCAATAAAATAGCCGCATGCATCTCCCAGATGCAGAGGCCGGGGGTCATCCTCCTTTTCTAAAAAAAGTAGTTAATAAAATATGGTAACATAATATGTTACTGCAACATAGCGCTTCTCAAGACAAGATGAGTAAGCTAATAAATGAGATCATCTATGATACTATTACTATATTATTTTATATTATAAAGGAAGTAACTTAGACTAATGTCATATGCGTGACACTAGTATAAGTTACTCTTCGCTATAACCAGCCTTAGTAGCATCAAGGCAAGGCAATCAGCATGGTGGAGGACGTGGAAGGGACGGGATTGAGATAGACCAACTGACCCCTGACGTGTGTTCTGACTTCTGAGCTTCCGACAAAGACAAAGAGAACAACGCTTAATTACCGTCGGAAAGTGAGTTGATCGATCGGGCGATCGTAGCCATCAGTCGTGCGCGCACACAGTTGTTTCCCTGTTTAATTTTTATTAATTATATTTCTTACAAATATATGCTACTAATGTTTATTAAAACATATCAGGGTGAAAGCAAATACTCCTCCGTCCCACAATATAAGAGCAAAAACGTAATATATTATGGAACGGGGAGAGTATCTTTTAACAAAAATTGTGATGAAAATAATTTAGTCGCTCGCTCGAGGGATGACGCATGCTAGCATTCATATTTGGGAAGTCATGGGCAGCTCACGCCTAACTTTTTATCTCCTCTTTCAATTCCCTCTACATGGAGGGGTGGCGTCCTCCCAGAAAATAGCCAAAATAATATTCACTAGGTGCTAGATACATCCATTTGAGCGACAAGTAATTTGAAACAGAGGTTTGTCAAATACTATATTTGTAGCTACCATAGAATTTTTGTCATTTTTTTTATATTCCATGGAAATTTATTTCATAAGTCCATGGCAAATTTATTACATATAGCTTTGTATTTGTTATAGTCCATGGCAATTTATTAATAAGTCCATCGCAAATTTAGTACATATAGCATGGCAAATAATTTGTATATAAGAGGGCATATTTTGTTGATCATACTATGGCAAATTATTTTGTGTATGTTCCATGGCAATTTTCATATTATATAGGCAGATTTTTTTTTCATTGTGTCATGAATTAAAAAAAATTGCCAAAAAATTATTTTGCGACATGAATTAGCAAGCTTTTGCAAATCTATGTATGTATTTAGAAAAATTATATGTGTTTCTGCGATGTGTTTTTTTCTTTGGACTATTTTTTTGTTCTTAGCATATGGATGACGCTGGGAAGGGAAAGGCTCAATAAAAGGCCTGCCAGCTATCGAGTCGCTGGTTTGAACCTTCCCTAGCAACCATTTTGTTCGCTGCACCTCCTCCTCCCAGCTGATGTTCCCCAATTATTTGGGTCCTAAATTCAACCCTGCCTGACATCACCCTGCAGTCGGCCGGTAGGGTGAGCGTGCATGCGACGCCAACGTCAATGTTGTATGCAGCGACTCCGAGTGGAAGGATGCCACTCGGCATATGGTATGACTCGACGATGTCGTAGGTGCTCTCATTGTTCGCCGAGGTGTTGATCTCTGGCAAGAGGAAGCATACGGTGTCTATGCTAAAACCGACAGATCTCGAGTAGGGGGTCCCAAGTTTGGTGATCTGAGCTAGATGGTACCAGGAAAAAGTAGGGACACATTTCTTAACCAGGTTCAGGCCCTCTCGAAGAGGTAAAACCCTATGTCCTGCTTTTGATATATTAATTGTGATGGGGTTGCGTCCAGCATAGTTTTTGGTTTCTTTGCTAGTTGCTTCTTTTGGTGCTCATGACGAGCAAACCGCTCATCGGTTCTAGAGCTCTTGCCGCATCGACATGTACGCCTTTCATTAGCGGAATCGAGCAGATCTTTGATCGAATCTTTCTATTCTTTTTTGCTAGCCAGGTGTCTTCCCTAACACAGTATCTTGATACTATGTCCGATAGCTCAGGAAACGTTTTGAATCATCTCCGTGCGAAGATATTATGGATGCCTTCATTATGACAATTATAACGGAACGCCAAAATAGCTTCTGTATCGCAGCAATCTAGGATCTTATTTTTTACAAACAAGCATCTCATCCAGAATTGACGAGCGGTTTCTCTAGTCTTCTGTTTAACATAGGACAAATCCCGTACGTCGGTTGGTCCCGCACCCTCGAGACAATATGCAACATGGGGGGAGAGCAAATCCGAATCTGAATTGATTTGACATCGTCCTGCCGATGCAAGGGTGGCTCAAGGAGACCCTTGGGACGGTTGCACGGCAGCGTGTTCGTGATCAGCTTGAGAGCTGGATCCGATCTCCAAGCTCGATTCGATCGTCTGGGGACACTGTTTTCTAAGGGGTGACCCGCCGGTTCCTCGGCCACGACCACCGAACTGTCCTCAACCAGATCCGAGGATGCTCCAAAAATTGCTTAAGTAGTACTAGCAAAAGGGTTTGTGCATTGCAATGGGAGTAAAAAAATCATAATCTCCAATTGCCATGACCACATTTTGCTGCATCGCCGAGATACAATATCACTCTCAATTTAATAAAATCATGAACAATTTTTGAAATCACGAAAAAAATTAAACTCATGCACATATTTGAAATCGTGAACATTTTTCCAATCCATGAACACTTTTACAAATTTTCAAACATTTTCTAAAATCAAGAATTTTTTTTAAAATTAATGACCATTTTATACTACTTGCAAACACTTTTAAAAAATATGAACAATTTTCAAACAATTTTCTTGAGTCGGTGGTTTTTTCTAGAATCGATGGACATTTTCTTTGTAAATTGGTGGAATAATTTTTGACATTCACGAACATTTATTTGATAAAATGAACATTTTATGAAATGCATGATATTTTTGAAATACTTCACGAACATTTGTGGAAAACTACCATTTTCGTGAAATCTTAAAAAAAATTATGAACATTTTTCTAAAACTCATGGACATTCTTACAGATTTAAAACATTTTCTAAAATTATGAACATTTTCTGAATTAATTAATTTTTTATAATATTTGAAAAAAATGATATTGTGAACATTTTTTAAAATAGGTTTATTGAATAGGCGAAAATTTCTAGAGTTGCCGAACATTATTTTGGAAATTTGTGGAACAATTTTTGATATTCACGCATATTTTTTGATTTAACGAACATTTTTTCAAATGCATGATCATTTTTTGAATCAGACAATATTTTATGAAACAATAAAGTATTTTATAAGGCACTAATAATTTTTGCTTTTTTAGGATATTT